TGCAGGTATGATGGTAGACACTCCAGGGTTGCAGTGCCAAAACAGCAAAAAGAGGGATGTATACAAGGGGATGCAGTGACCCATACACACACACAACACACGGCAGAGAAACAATAGTAATAAGTTATAATAAGGTATAAAAGTCAAGGATATCATAATATTATAAATATAATAATGTGGTGAAACTATTATCAGCGAAACTTCATAAACTAACGCGCTTTCAAAAATCGCTCTCTGGGTCTGTACGTTGTATCATCTCCAAACCTATCCATAAGCATCGTATAACTATACTCTCTTAATTTTAGAAGAGAAATAGAGGTAGAATCGTTTATTTTTGTGTGTTGTTTAACGTCTGTTAAAATAACTTTGTCTGCTGTAAGTTTAAACATGTAAGTTTTTCATTGTTTTAATGAGTTGAAGATGAAGCCATTTCAGATTTGCTTTTGTAATCTATTTTCTTTCACTTGATGGGTAATATAAATGCAGCCCATAGGTGAAGTTCCTTTGTTGGTNACGTAGTCCGCTGCAGATCACGGCGTCTCCGCCTCTCATCAATGTCCACAGATGGGATGCCAAACACAATGAGGTAGTCCCTCTCCTTCCATGTCTGCACTGTACTGTGTGGGATGTAGCGCAGAGACTCATTCATCATTGTGGCGTCTGGACTATCAGTACTCCCGCTGCTGGTGTTTTTGGAGAATGGTATATTGGGGTGGGACTCACTCGATTTGGCCACAGAATCAACAGGGTAGTAATAATGACCAATGAACACTACCACCAACAAAAACAGCAGGAGTGTACCGAGAATGACGCTTCTCCGTGGTGCCTTGCGTGCCATGTTCACTCCGTGTCACTACGGGTGAGGGGTGAAGAGAGAGGGATAAGGATGTATACAAGGGATACAATGACCCACACACACACGAACACAAAACAGAGCAACAATAGCAACAGGTGACAATATGGTGGGAAAAGCAAAGACACCAAAATATTCAGAAGCTAATAGTATGTTAGGATTCTTAACAGAGGAATTTGATAACCCTCCGCTTTGGTAAGATTCGTACCCTAGGTCTGTACGTCGTACCATTCCCAAACCTATCCATTAGCATCGCATACTCACCCTCTTGCAAATGGTGAATAAAAACTGATTTTGGGTTTACTGTGAACTCTCCAGCGCCATTATAGATATTTTGGAATCGACATGGTAACTCATTCACATATATTAATGGTGTGTAACGAGACTCAACAAACAATACACGCGCTACCATAACATCCTCCGCATCCATATTGAGTGACACAAATTCCTCTTCGCGTTCTTTGCTGTACGGGAGATGGACTAAACGCTTCAATGGCTCGTAAGAGACAAAATGTTCAGCAACATCCCTTGAGAGGGTGTAACAGGCACCAGCAGCGTACCGAAATCTTAACTCTGAATTTCCTTTAGGAACTCGAGCAGGAATAGGGACACCCCAATATATTCCTTTGAGAGGCAGCAAGCCTAAATCCGATAAAAACTGCGGTACACGCAAAAAAAAGTCATCATCACCCTTTGCAATATAACTTGCATTTAACGACAAGCGAATAGACAGATCAAACCAAAGGAATGTTTTGCGGCTCATGGTGATCTCAGCAGCAATACCCCAATGACCTTTTCCAGCCACTGTTTTATTTGTACTTGGTAGGACATCATTCATCGGAAGTGTGATGATATCATGCCACTCATCAGCCTCCTTCTCTAGTGCAGTAGAATAGTTGAAGCCGTGTGATGGGTGCCGTGCAAGTACATACAACACCAACATGGCACCAGTGAAGTTATTCGGCCTCCGTGCAACACCGGGGAACTGCCAGCACGTAGTCCGCTGCAGATCACGGCGTCTCCGCCTCTCATCAATGTCCACAGATGGGATGCCAAACACAATGAGGTAGTCCCTCTCCTTCCATGTCTGCAGTGTACTGTGTGGGATGTAGCGCAGAGACTCCTTCATCATTGTGGCATCTGGACTATCAGTATTCCTGCTGCTGGTGTTTTTGGCCAATGGTATATTGGGGTGGGACTCACTCGATTTGGCCACAGAATCAACAGCGTAATAATAATGACCAATGAACACTACCACCAACAAAAACAACAGGAGTGTACCGTAAATGACGCTTCTCCGTGGTGCCTTGCGTGCCATGTTCACTCTGTGTCACTAGAGGTGAGAGGTGAACAGAGAGGGATGAGGATCTATACAAGGGGATACAATGACCCATACACACACATGCACAAACACGGCAGAGAAACAATAGTAATAAGTTATAATTAGGTATAATAGTCAATGATATCATAATATTATAAATATAATAATGTGGTGAAACTATTATCAGCGAAACTTCATAAACTAACGCGTTTCGAAAAATCGCTCTCTGGACCTGTACGTTGTACCATTCCCAAACCTATCCATAAGCATCGTATATTTATACTTTCTTAATTTTCGAAAAGAAATAGAGGTAGAATTGTTTATTTTTGTGTGTTGTTTATTGTCTGTTAAAATAACTCTGTCTGCTGTAAGTTTAAACATGTAAAGTTTTCATTGTTTTAATGAGTTTAAGATGAAGCCATTTCAGATTTGCTTTTGTAATCTATTTTCTTTCACTTGATGGGTAATATA